GGATGCGAAAAGCTCAGGTTCGGATAGAAATCGATTAGTCACAATATTTCCTCAGTCTAAAATTTCACATTATTGTACAGAAATGTTTTATAACAATTCTTTGGCTGAACAGTAGAATTGCAATCGCGACTGTATCAGCACTTCATTTGCCCGATAATTTCCGATGATCAGGCGATTTGGTTTTCAGGAAGGGCGGGGATGGATGGTTGTTGCTGGAACACGGATCTGGTAACGCAGCGTTCAATCAGCAATCTCTTTAGCCTGTTGTACATTGCCAGATACACTACGCAGAGTATCTGTTTTCAGTGCTCGGACCTAAATATTGAAGTGGTTAGTAACAATTTTGTCACATCTACCATTCTTTATGTTTCGGCATCTGTTATCGCTTTCAGTGCAATTTCAACAAGGTGAAAAATGCATTAAATGAACTACTATAAATGGAGAGTGTAGACTAGGCCTAATCACAATACACCAAGCCCTTCTTAGTACACACTGTGAAAACGATCCGAACCAGCAACTGCTAAAATACGACGCGGCTTCTGCGCATATTTTATGTATTCCTATTACTTAGGCTGGATAAGCAATAGAAATAAACAAAATATGTGCGAGAAAAGCATAAAACCGGACAAAAAAGAAGACAAAAAAAAACACAGTATTTGATTTATCACGAAAAATTCTTGAGAGAAGACAATAATTCAGTACAGTAGCAATAAAGAGATGGACAATGGCCCCTTTCATCCGATACTGTGAGAATATCGACAACGCAATAAAAATTTGAGCCATCTCAGCCATTCTACGTTTGTTTGCTTCCTGGACAAGATTGCCAGTTTCTTAGAAATTTAATTTCCAGAACCGCTTCTTTACTTCGTGCACTGAGTTCCCGTAACACTTCAACTATCTAGCAAGGGCTGTTCGCAATGAAAGCTATGTTCGTGAGTAATAGTTCTGCTACTTAGCATTTTGCTTAACCAAGCTTTCCAGTCCAATTTGCTATTTGTCAATTTCGGTACTGATTTCGCAAAGTTTGAACGATGTCGAATTTACCTGTTTCACACCTCGTGCCATAGCACTACTCATTCTAGATCTCGAGTTAGAATGATGCCAGCAATTTTTGCAACCAAATATTTGCGCGCCCGTATGCAAGGCGAAAATGCTAATTTTACATATTTGGTACAGCAAGCAACGCCCTCATAAAAGTTGAGCTTTTCAGCTTGTTTGATCGCCTGGAGACAGGGATTTCAAGTGTTCCGGAATTTGAATTCCGAAAAATTTGAATTGAATTCTAAAAAAAGAGTTCTGAAAAATTGGACTTGTTCGAAGGCAAGGCAAAAGAGCACGAGAAAATCTCGTTATATGCTCGCAAAATTGCACGTAGGGAACATTCTGTGGTTTTTTATTCATTTCTATTACCCCAATTAAGCGAGTTCCAGCAGTATTCCAACTCAAACTTTCACTATTACGAAATAGTCAGAATTTTTTTTTTTACAATTCGTTTTGTTAAAAAAGTGCCGAGTAATCGTTCGTTTGCAGCACTACGGAGCATTTTTTATTAACCCAAGGATTCTACAAGACGGCGATGCTGGTGATGGAAGTGAACCACCGCGCTGCGATTCGCCCGAGAGTGCAAGAATTAAGATTTGTCGTGATCCATGCTTCATTCTGAATGTCACCACACAGGAAATTAGTACCAGCAGGATGTTGCCGTTTGGTACTTTCTTTATCTGCTCATTATTTACCTCAGTTCTTGACTGGTAATGTAAAACCTCAGTGTATCTGAGACTCAGCTAGAAGCCCTCCTGTTTCGAGCTATTACTTCCAGTTTTAGCTTTGCATGCTCAGCGTACTCCCAACTGATCGTTCCGGTGGTTACTGGAATGACAGTTTTCTGTCCTGTAGATGTCATCTAGAAATTCGTTACCTTCTTTACCAAGCTATTAAAATATCTGTTAATTTACAACGGCATTCGTTTATGTACCTGACATCCTTTGCACTTCACAAGCTGTTTTGACCGTTTGGTGGTTAGCCTGCTAGCGATTCTCACATTCGTTTTGTTTCCTGAATAGTTTCATGAATAGTTGTTTAATTATATTAATAATCATTATTATAAACTCGTCCTAAAATATATTGAATCATTCTAAATGTATCTTACAAGGACCATCGTGCTGACGAGGTCCAGTTGTGCTGCTACAGAAAATATATATGATTTCATGGACCGAAACATTTCTTTCTGGCTATAAATTCTGCTTTTTCTTTATCAAAAGATTAGCTCCTAAATATATTTTGGCTCATATAACTATATGAACCAAAATATATTTGAGAGCTAATCTTTGTATTTAAGAGCATTAAAAATTATTTTGAAAATTTTCATGCAAGCAATTTCGGAAATAATGTTAATTCCAAGTTTATTTATCCTTTCGTCTTTTTCTAATTATCGGGTCCCTACATCTACTCAAGATGACTGCAGAATCCTTGTAGGTTCCCGATATAAAAAATGACTAAAATTAATCCGTTAAAGAAAATAACTAGACGTGAAGAGTGAAAAGGAGGAGCTGATGATGATGCAAAAAATATCTGAGAAACTGAAAAAGAAGATGGCTTTTGAGAAAAGGATGAAAACTTCGAAAAGAACGAAGAATGAAGATTTGTTCTTTCTGCCTGTGATCAGAAGGTTTTTAACTAGATTTATGCCTCATTATGGATAAACAGGATTTAGGTAAATTGCTGTTCTTTTTGTTGTAATCCTGATCGAAGTGTGTAGTTTTACGGTAAAACTGGGCGAAGTAGACGCTGTATTAGTTCGACTACGGTATTACAACAACAAGAAACAACAATAACGGGAAATGTTTCAAAGTGAGATTCTTGCGTAAGGTACTGTGAGCGCTGTGTTACGCGCTCCAAAAAGACGTGACAGCGGCACGATCAACTGTGGCATGCTTCCCCTCCCCTCTTCCCCCCCCCC